TTTGAACAGCTTTGGACCAGTTCGCAGGGCATACGGCAACGTCTCGAGCTTGGCCTGCATCTTCTTGTCTGCCGCTCCGGTCGCTCGAAGCGCAAGGTTGGCGATAGCAGGGAACGCCCCCATACTGTGCGCATACAGACAAATATCCGACACGGATGCGTCCTTTTCGAGGGTCTGCAGTACAGCAAACAGGTCCAGCGATTCGTTCCAGCCCATGGTCACATAGAGACCGTCCGACAGCCCAGAGCCGCAGCAGTCGAAGGCCAGTACGGAGAAGCCGCGTTTTAACGCTGCATCACGCACACGCAGTGCATCCAGTCGAGAGCCAATGTTGGAGTGCAGGTAGATCAGACACGGCGTGACAGCCGGGGTGCTGCTGCCCTGTGCGAAGAGCTGCCAGTGCGAACAGCGCACACGCAAACCCCGCTCATTGAGCACGTCGAAGTCTCTGCGTCTGGCCTGCGTCACGTTGTCCTGTGTGGGATCTACCGACAGCTCGGCGACCTGGAAGCGCTCGGGGCCCAGCTCGTGAACGTCGTACAGCGCTCGCTTGGGGCGGATCACCAGCTGCACGACGTCGCGGTAGCCTTTGCCCAGCAGCTGCTTGACACTGGCGTCGCCTGTACCGCCGAGACGCTTGAGTTCTGCCTCCAACTCGCCCTCGGCGAAGATCTCCATCTCGGTAGACACGCCGTTGCCCATAGCACCTAAACGTTTCCTTGCTGTGCTCGTCTCGAGGAAACGCGAATGCCAGGCGCTGACTGAGACCGCGATGGGAGACTTGATGTTCAGTTGACCAAAGTGGGACCGATCAGATCTGTTTCTTTTGTTAACGAATTTGACAGGCCTTGATGGTGATTGGTTGTAAAAAAAATAGTCGTGATGATGAATGGTGAAATGGAAACGTTGCGTAAACAAACACCACTTTGCATCAGTTTGAGTCAAACAAACTTTTCAATTTGACAGGACATTCAAGCTGCATTGAGATTTCAGCGTGGAAGAGGAGGCCTGAATAACAAATAGTAGAAGCCAGGAAACTCGATTACATTTTTTTTGCTTTGAAATACGAGGATACAGAAATGATCGGTAAAATGCCTGGAAAACAGCAACGGATATTACTTATTCGTGATGAGGGATTGTCGACGCTTGGCTGTTTGCTGGGCTGCAGCTTCGAGGCTGGCAAGAGTTTGCTGGCTATCGACGCCTTGGCGGAGTAGTGTCGCGATGGGCTTTAACCCGCGACTCACGGCTAACTGGAGAGGAGTTTGGCCTGTGAACTGAAGCAGTAAAGTGGTGAGAGGGGTTAAATGCAGCGCTTACGACAATAAAATGGGGTGCTGTACGTTGCGGAGTAGCGGGTTTGCACCCGCGAGCAGCAGGTCTTGTACGATATCTCGGCGGTTGATCTCGACAGCAAGATGCAGCGGCGTCGTCCCGTTGATCTACGAGAAGAAATTGGTCACCACAGTGCTTCACAGTCTAGTACGGGTTACATACTGCGCTTACCGTCCGCGCGTTGACGTTGGCTCCGGTAAAGAGCAAATGCTTCAGTAGTTTGGCGTGTCCGTGCTGCACTGCAACATGCACACTTGTCTGCTGCCAGAGCTATCACAACGTGAGTTCATCCTGGATATATAATATGCTTCAATACTCTTTACATACTCCATGTGGAGCATTGACCTGCGCGGCTCCACTTTTCGTCACCAGCAGCTTCTGAGCGGCCACAGTGTCGCCATTATAGATCGCGTCCCAGAGCGGCAGACGCTTGCCACCTTCCGGCCAGGACATCTCAAAAAGATCTGCGACTGTTGCTAACCGGCGCCCAGTGACGCTTTAAACTGCAAACACTAGAGAAGATGAACGAGTCCGCGTCCAAGGTGAGTCTCGCTGCAAGTGAGAAGCCTTCCACAGCTAGCAGCTCAAGCTCGCCAAATGGACGTAAGACGCGGACAATCATCGTTGCAAGAGCGATCAGTGACGAGCCTGCCAAGGTGACACCAGCCACCAGTGACGTCGTGAACCAAAATCATTCTCGTGATGCGCGATCTGGCAAATTGGCCTCTTATGCAGCACTCGGAGGCGCTGAAGACGTCGAGCGCTTTGATCAGTTCTTGGCTGAGCAACGTGGCCAGCCAAGCGCCTCGGAACTGCGAGCAGCAGCGACGTCGCCATTGGCGTCGACGAAACGGAAGACTATGAGTCGTGTACAACTGGAAGGAATCGACATAAAAAGCGAAGAAATAGAGAACGACGCTCGTAAGCGTCGAGAACAAGCCGTGGCTCATCGCAAGTGGCTAAACTCGCTCCCTATTCACGAACGGATTTCTCAACAGCGTCAACAAAATGCACTACAAAAATGGCGGCAGATGAATCGAGATTGGGAGGCTTTTAAGATCCGAGCGGCACGGCGACTAGGTAAAGCTCCTCAAGAGCTTGTCATGAGTCGAGCGGCAGCATACCGAGAGCAGCGAGAGATGTACGACGCCCTGCAAAAGGCTCGACCATTAAATGATAAGGTAGGCGAGGATATCTGGCTCGTGAGTCTAAGGAATGAAGGTACGCGGTACGTTCCTGTAGGGAATATCTTCAGCGGACTATTTTGTCCAATCAGAGAGAGCACAAAAATTGGTCCTCGAGTTCGACGTCCACTGGACTATTTTGACAACCAAGAGAACCGTGAACATGAAACCTCGCGACCATTATCTAAACTCGAGAAACGATCTCTGAACCTACTGGCGCGCAAGAAATGGCGTCTACGCAAGCAACTTGAGGTGATCCAACCCCATGAAGTGGATCGTAGTGCCAGTAGCCATCTAGCAGTTGGAACAACCGACTTGTTCGCTTGGGCATCGGGTGAGACCAAAGAGTCGAAAGTAAACGATGATGAAGCATCTGGCTCATCATATCCTGAAGAGGAAGCTTCACGTCGTAGATTACACTCGTATGCAAGCTCAAGTTCCAAATTTAAGACCGAGGCAGTGTCAGTCAGCCAATTTATTGGTCCCAGTCTACGAATTGCCTATGTTTCAGACGACGAAGAATCTCAATTAACACCTGAAAGCGGTGGAGTTGACGGTAGTAACTCAGAGACAAGTCTTCCTCTTCGTCTAAGCCTTTATACTGCAGTAAATGAGCAAGATCAATGTTCACTATCGATCACGAACGATGGCAATACGATCGTTCACTATCAATGGTGGCGAGCACCTTTCGAAGATGATAACGCAGAGATGACAACTCGATTACGTGGACATAGAACACGCAAAGATGAGCAAGAAATGGAACAGGTGATGACTATTTCTTTGTCGAAGCGTGGGGGTACATTGTTACCGGGAGAAACTCAGCACTTTGTGTTCACCTTTAAGTCGTCGAAAGCTGGTATGTTTCTTGAAAAATGGTTCCTGGATGCAGACCCTCGACCTCAAATTTGTTTTGGGTTATCCCCAGTCGAATCAGTGACTGAGTTACCGATTGAAGTACGGTTAAGTTGTGTTGCTGAGGACAATTTTTCAGCTTGGAAGCGACGTGAGATGCAGCTCACTCGAGTGGAACAACGAGAGAGCCACTTCTTCGTGACTACTATTGTTGATGATATACTGGATTCAGTGAGACCGGCGGAGCCTGTGGAGTTTACGGCGTTGATGCCGCGTGATGACGTTAAGAGATTCTACGAACAGAATGGTTCTAAAGCGTTTAGTGACGTCTACTTTAGTCCAGAGTTAATAAGCGGCTGTCACGCACTGTATGAACGTGCTCAAGGGATTCTAAGAGCTCTTACACCTGCAACGCCAATCGAGGAGGACAATACTAACAAGGACAATGCTGATAATGCTGAAGGTGTTGAGAATGCCAACACTGCGTCAGAGCAAAATGGCAATACGGATCGTGCTATAGATGAGAAACAGACCGCACAAGACACCCCGCTTTCAATTCAGGAGTGGAATTGGCGGTTAGAAACACTTGGTGAGCTCTGTAAGATGGCCGATGAAGCTCAAAATATACAGATACACCGCTTAACTCAGCAGTTGAAAAATGAGATTGAGAACGTTGAGGAGGACGACAACGAAGAAGAAGAAGAAGAAGAAGAAGAAGAGAATGATGAAGATGAAAGTGAAAGTGATAGTGAAAACGGTGAAGCTACTGAGGAGAAACCTCCACGTTTACGTCCTAGTGAAGTGCGTAGGATGGAGAGATTGGCTTGTCGTAAGGCTCTTGAAGACGAGATCAGTACTTTGAAACCTGATCTAATGGATACATTCGACATGCTGCGGTTTGTAGCCCACACAGCGCCTTACAACAGTACTCGACTGCAAGAACGACTACACGAACGAATCGGGAGTTTATGTGGTGAATTACCGATAGTCTGTGAAATTGCTCAGGGTTTGAACATGGGAAGTAATTTACCCGCGGTAAAGTTAGAGCGAGTGGGAAAATTAATCGTTCGCGCTATTGACGAGGCCATTGGAGGTGACCAGGAGCACCAGGCTTTGTTTGAGCGGGAACGACGACGACTCCAGAGCATGTGGCTAAGTGACAAGGCGTCGTATTTGTCGGTCAGTCAATGGGCCGACAAGGCAGCTTTGAGCGCAGATAGTTTACCAGTACAGAATCCGGAACATTTCGATTGTTCTGGTGTGTTATTGATGCAGGTGGACTTGGATCTGGCCTCGTGGTTCTCTCTGGTAAAAGCAGACAAAGAAGCCGCAGCAGATGGAGCTCCAAAGATCGAGTTGGCATGGCGTTTTTCGGAAGAGTTGGTCCAGCATTCGTCTTTTGTTCCTGCTAAAGTGATGGAGGCTACAGAGTCGTTAGAAAAGGTGTTGAATGTTCTGTCAAGTGCAATCCCGAGTGTCCATACCCTCATACTTGTAAGCGAGTTAAGCCGTCCACCTCTGACAAAACAGATGAATAGATTACTTCGCACTGCAGCTCAAGCTGAGCTAAAGGCTAAGGCACTTGCATCGGATCAAACAACAGAGACTACGGACAGCAAGATTCAAGAGAGTGAGGAAGCAGAAGCGACGAGTATGAAGGGTATTCTAGAGATCTTATCTTCGCAGCTCTCGCTTCGTAGTGTCGCTCAAGTGATGCAGCGTGCACTCCACAAAGATGTCGTGTTTTGCTCTGCTATCGAGGGCGTACAGGCTCAGATCGACTTGAGTCGCAAAGAAAATATGCTGAATACTATTAGCAATACTGTAGACCCAAAGAATGTCGAAATGTCCCCGAGAATCGTGCTGCTTGAGCACCTTGATGCCGCTGGTATAGACCTCATCACTCAAGCTTCTCGGAAGCGTGAGATGGCGGCTTCAAAGCCAGCAACCCCAGCTCCTGAAGCCCAGAAACCTGCGAAGAAAGCCTCAGTTACTGTTGCTAAAGGAAAGCCTGCAACACCTGCTCCTGTGCCGACCCCTCCACCAAATACTCTGCCAGTTCATGATCTTACGCTCGAGCTATCCGGAAAAGAATTGAGTGAGAAGGGAGTCAAAGCACTACGAGATCAGTTCGTACGCATGGCTAGTGCCTGCGTAATGGATGGAGTTCCATCGCAAGAATGTGAGGGTGTCTTCCTGCCAGACGCCAGCGCATCTTTTCCAATGATTGCGGGACCTAAACTATCCAAAGAACTCGAAATATGGTCCCAAATGCTGCAACCAAGTATTACCCAGCCTAGTGTGCATACTGCTGTGGTTGGTGGTAAGTGCCTGGAGTCTAAGTTACGACTGATTGATGGCCTATTAGAGCTTGTCCAAGAGATCTACTTTGTCGGCGAAGTGGCTATGAGTTTGTATAGAGTTCTACATACGAAAGCAAGCAAGTCTGCTACATTTAACCGTGATGAAATGAAGGTAGAAGAGGATGAAGAGCTGGAAGAAGACGCAGAAGTCTCCAAGGAAGAGACTCTAGAAGCCGAACCTACTACTGAGAAGGAACTGAGTGATCATTCCAAGGGATTGTGGGATCTTCTTGTACCTGCAGTGGAGAAACTTCAACAGAAAGCAAGTCGTAAGTGCGTTCGCCTTCTGCTTCCTATCGATTGGATTGTAGGCGAGACTCCGCTTGAAGAGCAGGATCTCACTGCTATTATCGAGGAAAGCGACGAAGAAGAAGAGGAAGAAGAGGAGGAGGAAGAAGAGACTAGTCGCAAGCGGAAGAAATCGCAAATGAAGAGTGCTAGACAAAAGCCACTAGTGGAGCCTGACCACGCCGATGTGTTCGAGCTCAAACGCCACTATACGTACGAAGGCGAGCGAGCGCATGTTGTTCTTAACCATGCAAAGCTCAAATCTGATGCGGGATGGCGAGCGTTTGAAGACGTAACAGTGCAGTGTTTGTCTAACGCTCAAGTTATGGAGGGAAAAGCGAGCGTATTGGTGTCATTCTACGCTGATTCGGATGAAGAAGGTGACGACGACGCAATGCACAAACCTCCAGCAAAGTTTCAATATGATTGGACTTTCCGTGCGTTGGATGTTGGACCAATCGCAATGGAGGCGCTTGCGAAGATACTGAAGCAAGAAGAAAGAGAAGAACCAGCTTCCGATGCCTCTATGCAATCGAAAACGCTCATAGTTAGTGGCGTTTGCGGTGCAGTTGAGTTCCAGGAGTTCTGTGCGGCTACGAAGAAGTTACTGAGGATTCTTCAGGACCATAACCTACAGCAAGTGTTCATTGCTGGGAGCTCAACAACAAGCTGGCTTCGACAACTGGAGTTCGAGCAGGCTAATGAGCAAGCCAGGAGTAGCGATACAACCACCTTGCAGGCCAATTCAAACACCAACGTCGATTCTAGTGCGCCAACCCGTGCCCACAAAGTGGTAGACGATCGAGCGATGCGTAATGCTCGCGTGCTCAAGCAACTCATCGCTGCCAAGCCACATCTGATTCTTGCAAATTTGGTGTCCTCCGACTCGATATAGTTTGGAAAAATATGCCAATACACTGTACCTTGGTCCGTGTTTCTAACTATTTTCGGACAGTAAAGATCCAAACTACACTACGTAGTAGCATGTCACAAGTGGAAGATCCAATAAATGACGGCAATGTTACTGGACTCAAGGGAGTCACTTGTCAAGTTGAAGTGACCGCTGCACGACTGCAAGTCAACTTTCGACTATCCACGAGTCATTGTCGAGCGTGAAATCGGTCGCAACGAGCTACACGTACCTCGCATCGCAAAAGGCATATATCTTTCACGTACTCATAACGTATGCCGCAGATGTGCCTTCGCTTCGGTTTAACAAGCGTTCCGCATGTTGGTGATGAATCAACACTAGGCACCACGGTTAAAGGTTCGTATGTAGTTCTGTATGTAGTTTCGTACACGCATGTGCACGTCGGGGCACCACCGTAAGATGATCCATTCGGCCACTGGATGTATCTTGTGCCTCAACCTCAACATTTATTTGGGTTGTCATCATTTTCGTTACTAATCGGATACGACCAGGCGCTAGTAGTGTTGGGTAAGAGGAGAGGATTTCTTTATGTTTTTAGTATTTGCCACGACAATTTGCCAAGTGGACACGCATGTGCTGTCTCACTAAGATGTCGATTAAAGTAGTCACGTGTCGAAGCACATGCCTAAGATCATACGAACTACTTCATCGTTGCGTTGTCACTCGAGTGTCCCTAGAAGTGATTGAACATAAGGTCAACTAGATTTAATACGAGAGGCAATCTTGCTGCTGCGGTGCTTCATTGCAACCTCATTCCCCAATTTTCACTCGTTCACTCGAGTCCCCCCATCTCACTTCCACCTACCACGGTGTAGTGTTCGCCCTCTTCAGGTAAACTTCTTGGTGAATACCCTCTACAACAAGAATGCTGTCGTGCAAGACGTTCCTCAAACTGTTTGCGGTGGCCGTCGCGCTCTCCGATTTCACCGCTCATGCCGACAGTACGCATGTGGCTGACTGTGAAATGATCTACGATGTGGTCACGCCGGCCCCAACCGTCCCAGTCACTCCGTGCCCCAAACCTGAGGGTCAAGACTTTATTCCGACTGATGTTGAAGGCCAGTCAACTATGCAGCAAGACAACTCCGTCACTACTGGCACTACACCGAGTAATGGATACAACTCGAGTTCCGATGGTAGTTTGGTTAGTGTTGGCGATGTCTCTGACGCGTCCGGCGAACGTCCTAGCACTGAAAACGGTGACATTCCCGCTCCAAATGGAGTTGACAGCACCAACAGCGTACCCAGTGATACAGGCGTTGTCGATGCACCACAAGACGACCAAAATGGCTACCTCCACAGTGGCGGAGAGACAGAAAACAATGCTAGTACGTCCACCGGCAAGGCCGATGGAGCAGACGTCGGTGTAAACGTCGATGCAACCGTCGATTCTAACCCGAATTCTGGTTCGAACATCGACGCTAATGTCGGAGCATACGTCGGCACCAACGTCGGTGCTAACGTCGATGCCGGTGTAGATGCGAATGCCGACGCTAGTGCCGGAGCAAACATCAGTGCAAACGTGGATACCGGCGTGAACGCCGATGTGAACGCCGATGTTGGTGTCGGTGCAAACGTGGGTGCC